TGATAAGGCGGTGCAAATGTATTTTTATTTCTATTTTAGTATCCTTTTTTTGATAGATTGTACCATAGCCATTTAACAGTATGTTGAAACTTTTATGCAGCATTTAAAATTTCTTTTGTCTGAACCAGAAATCACATCAACAGCATAACATTAACTTGTTTCCGATTATAAAAATAACACTTGAAAACTAAAAGTATAAAGAAGAAAATGTAAAAGTCAGATTATTATTTCCTTGTAATGGAAATAACCATGAATGTATGGCCTCCTAATCTTTTTTTTTTTTTTTTTTTTTTTTTTTTTGTTTTTTTTTTTTTTTTTTTTTTTTTTTTTTTGGGACAGAGTTTCGCTCTTGTTACCCAGGCTGGAGTGCAATGGCGCAATCTCGGCTCACCGCAACATCCACCTCCTGGGTTCAGGCAATTCTCCTGCCTCAGCCTCCTGAGTAGCTGGGGTTACAGGCACGCGCCACCATGCCCAGCTAATTTTTTGTATTTTTAGTAGAGAAGGGGTTTCACCGTGTTGACCAGGATGGTCTCGATCTCTTGACCTCGTGATCCACCCGCCTCGGCCTCCCAAAGTGCTGGGATTACAGGCTTGAGCCACTGTGCCCGGCCTGGCCTCCTAATCTTTTTTTCTCACCATATTGTTGTTATTTTTGCTTACTCTAACATAAGTGTTTTTCAATGTCTGTCTTACTACCCTTCCTAGTCAAGTTTTGAAGTAAACACACACACACACACACACACACATAAATTAGCATCTTAAAAAGAGTAAAATAAGATGAAAATACTCAACTATATTTTGCAAGCCAAAGAGTTAACTTCAGAAGAAATAGACATTAGCAGATTCAGCAATTAAAGTCCTATTTATAGTTTGTCTGGAGAGAATAATAATATATATAGTGTCCTCAGCAGTCAGTGTGATGTGGTGTGAATAGCACAGGCTTTGCATTCAGGCTGACCTAACTGAATCCTAGTCTTACTACTTACTAACTGCCTGATGTTGGACAGTAACTTAACTTCTCTCACCTTTGGTTTCTTATCTTTAAAATGGAGTGAATAATGCCTGCCATTCAGGGCTGCGTTAGGATTAGAGAAGCAAATATAACTAAAGTGCCTTACCCGGTGTCTGGATATGTTAGGCATAGGGTAAATGATAGTCAGAAGAAACCTAAGGCCCTAGGCTTACACAACTGAAGTAATTTTGTGAAAATTAAAGGCCACCGTGTTATACCCATAATTAACTAAGTAGCTATGTCTTCAAAATATTTATTTGCATTATTTACCATTTTTTCTTTCTCTTGCAAATTTATTACTGCCCAAAGAGGAATGGAAAATGATGAAAAAGTGACTGTCTTGAGATGCTTTCTACTCTGGCAGGCCGTGGTCCAGGCTACAGTGTTTACCTCATTTCAGGAAGGTCCAAAGCATTATGGGCCTGGAGTAGGTCTTAGAGATTCACTGATGAGCTCCCACGGAACATTCACAATCCAGGGCAAGAGATTCAATTCAGAAAAAGCAAAAGCCTTTCCACTACACTTTAAAAAAAAATTCAGAATGAAGGTAGCTGAAGTGAACCCTATTGTGGGTGGCAGGAGTTGGGGGCAGGGGTATAAATTCTGAAAACTTGAGTTATTTTATTGAACATACAAATGTCAGGGAAAAAAATTAAAAAGGTATTTCTTTTAGCCAGTAAGAGGTTAATACCTGGTTGTAACTGCAGAAAAGCAACATTGAGGCAACTTTTTAATATTTACTTCCAAATAAGATGAGAAAATTAGAGGAAATCACTTGTTTCTGATATGGAAAGAATTAGAGACATAGACCTACCCCAAATAAGAACACTAGTAAGGCATTTGTAAGTGATATAAGTATGGAAGTGTATTTAAATATACTAGTATGTAAGTGATATAAGTATGGTATTAGGCAAGTTCTTATGAAGGAAACAGGACAGTATCGCTAAGGAAATGATATGTAAGTGGATCTTGCAGGATGAACAGAAATTCACTAGCAAAGGTAACTGCCTTCTGGGCCCAGTTAACTGTGTATGTAAGGCAACAGTGGATTATGGGGAGCATGAGGGAGGGGTAGAGAGTGAGCTTAGAGCCACTGCTCTAGTATTAAGTTTGAATTATGGAAAATACAGCAATATTTTAATTTTCATTGCAGAGAAATGTTGAGAATGGTATATAATGAGTAAAAGCAAAAAGAATAGCAGAGCCAATCAATCAATACAAGATAATTTTTAAAACACAGAAAAGACAAATGTGCCTTTGCCTATGAAAGGGTGAAGGACATGCCATCCCAAATTATGTCAGATTGGTATATTGATTATTTCAAGGTGAAAACTTTGGAGAAATTGGAGTTTCTTGAGGCTGTATGCACAGAATGCCTTCCTGAGCCATACAGAAGAGACACTGGATGAAATTGCCAGGATAATGGTGTATGTCCCCAAGGAGGAACAGCTCTTTTCTTCCCAGGGCTGCAAGTCTATTTCCCAGAGGATTAACTGCTTCTATCATGAAGGCTAGATGAAGACTTCCTGGAGCTGCCTTTCTTCCCCTAACAGGACCCTGGGACCTGTAGGAGCACCCTGTTTGCAACTGCGAGGTGTTTGAGGGGTGTGGACTGGCATTCAGCAGTCACTAACACAAAACTGGTGTGTGAAAGACAGACCTTACATTAGAAACAGTGCCAGTCCTGTTTGTTTGTTTGTTTTTGGAAGCCCCACCAAAATAGAAACTTGGATCTCTGGATTCAAAGAAACAGAGCCAATTCTTAAGATCACTTGGTGCTTTAAAGACATCCATTCCAAAGTGGAATGTGGTTGAAGAAAGTGGGCCAGGTGGTTGAAGAAAGCCATGTGGGAGCTCAAGAAATCCCAAGAGCTGGTGATGATGCTGCAGATGGTCTCTTTAGCATCTCAGCTCTTCTGTAAGGAAAAGCTTGGGTGTTACACTTCAGAGGCTGTAGAGTCCTTGGGTTACAGAGCAGATGAGAATGAAGTTCTGTGACCCAGCAGTGGAAAGTACATTCTAGGTTTGCCGGCTGGTGGGCTTTCAAATGGTACTGCCAGAGGAAAGCTGAGCTGTTTCTGTTGTGAATGGATCAGCAAAGAGCCTCAGCCTGAAGGAAAAAGTGCACAGAGGAAAATATTTTACAAATCAGGTCAATGTAAGCCAAGACTTAGTATACAGATTTTGGAGGGAGAGGGGGAAGCTTGTAAAACAATTAGGGGTCTTGACATGTTACATGTAAAGATTAAAATTTTCTATTCTTAAAAAAAGAAGAAGAAAGGGCAAGCTTTGTCTTTTCCTGTGTGCAGCGATCAAGATTCCTCTGGGAGGGGCACCCTCTCCATACCAGGGTGACAAAACAGCGATTATTACCAGAATTGGAATTGGAGGCTGCAATGGATCTGAATAAACATATTTACATTGCCTTCCATCTGCTTTACACACCTCCACCATATATCTCTGGTGACTCCCTTGGAACATTTGCTTCCTCTAGCCAGATTTCCTTTGTCCTGTCGTTTTTCCTCATATTTATCACTCAGTGCCTAAAAATGTATAAAAACATCTTGGTTTGGCCACTTCTTTGGACTTCACTTACTTGTAAAGATCCCCATACACATGTAAAACTAATAAAATTTGTAGACTTTTCTCTTGTTAATCTGCCTGGTGTCAGTTTGGCTCCCAGATGCAACTGAAGAGCCTACTAAGAGCTGAAAGGGGGTTGGAGGTGATCTTTTACTCCCCCACACTAAAATTGGACCATTTTCAGGAAGATGACCAGTGTTTTATTCCTGTCCAACTTGTTGGCCAGTGCTTCAAAGGAGAGTGAACTCCATCACCCCACATCAGAAATGTATCAGCATAAGTAACCTGATGGATAAAACATCAAAACTAGTTGCCACGACTTGTTCTCTAAAGTGTTAAAAATCCATTATGCCCCGAACCACTGATTCTAAGTTTCCATTATTCACCACTGATTTGGTTAAAGATCACTTTGTAGAGAGAAGTTTATAGAAGTGGCAAAAAATACATATATATTTATATAAACAAACATAAATATTATATACATATTTCTTTAAAATTAGTGATAAGAGACACTTTGGTTGCCGATCAGACAGGAAATAAGTAAATAGAAAAATTGAAAACCTAAAGCTCATGCTGTTCTCACTGCTTTATTTTCTCATAATTACTTCTTGACATTTCCCTTTAGTGTAAGCACTAGATGAGGAGCCAGGAAAGCCAGGATTCTAGACCCAGCCATATCAGTTTCTACACATCTGCCTCATCTCAGACATATCCCTTTACTTCTCGAGCCCTTGGTTTCCTGATCTCTCAAATGAAAGGATTTTCAAATAGGTTCTGCAGGATATGGGAGAGATACTTCAAGGGCCACTCTGGAAGATGAAGGGAGGCCTCCTGCCAACCTTTCCCCTTCAGACAGAGCAGCTTCGCTTTTATTTGTGTTATAAGTTGGGGCTGTCACAAGATTTTTTTTGACAAAAGGATTCTGTTACTTTTTTAAAGTTTGAAAATCACTGAGCTAAATGTTCCATAAGGGCCTATCCGGCTCAGAAACAATTTTCATAGCTGTAGATTGGGAATAACAATAGTCCCTTCTCAGGTTTCCATGGAGTACACAAGATATTACATGTAGAACAGGGCATAGAATGTAGGAAGCATTCAGTGTGTTAGCCGTTAATCTCTGCCACCCCTTCCCCCAGCAGGTCCCACACAACTAAGACTGCATTTGTGACTGTATACTTTAGAGTATGAAATGATGGCCTGAAAAATTGCCTGATCCATCTGCTTTATATCAACACCACCATAAAAATGTCTTGGGCATGTTCTCTGTGAATTTTTAATATAGTTTATTTCTAGTTTTTGTACTTCACCTTTTTCTCTCACAATTGAGTTTTCTTTTGTTATCAGATTTTTAAAATAGTTATGATAATGCATTTTTGAAAGTTAATGTGTTCTTGTGTTCCAGACTTCTCAGCTCGTGGGAAAGTGACATCAGCGTCCACCCCCTAACCCTGCCCTCTGCAACCTGCTTGGAGCTGCTTTTGATATTATCGAAGAGTAATGCCAATCTGCCTTCATCCCTTCGCCATATGAATTCCTTTCAGGTGAGCAATGGCTTCTTTTCTAGGCTGTGATTTCTCAGTTTTACTTGGAATTATTTTTCAAGGATCCTGTCTTTCACAGGAGATAACCCATGGAATTCTCCAGTTTCAAATAATAAAAATAAGCATAATGCATGTATTGCTTTGTCCATCTGGGTTTTTTTGTTTGTTTGTTTTTTGGAGGCAGAGACTCACACTGTTGCCCAGGCTCGAGTGAAGTGGTGCAGTCTCGGCTGACCGCAGCCTCCATCTCCAAGGTTTAAGTGGCTTTTGTGCCTCAGCCTCCCGAGTAGCCGGGACTCCAGGTGCATGCCACCACACCTGGCTAATTTTTTGTATTTTTTGTAGAAACAGGGTTTCACTGTGTTGTCCAGGCTGGCCTCAAACTTCTGAGCTCAGGCAGTCAACCTGCCTCAGCTTCCCAAAGTGTTAGGATTACTGGCGTGAGCCACTGTGCCTGGGCTTTGTCTATCTCTTTTTAAATAAATGAACAAACGGAGGCTCAGAATTGACTAGGTAATTATCTAGTCATGGCAGAAGCCACAGCTCTATAACTCCAGGCTTTGTTCTTCGGGCTCCCATCTTGCCTCTGGAAAATGTCAAGAAGATCCAGCAGATACTTGTGAATGCCAACTCCTTTCTCCCAACTTTGCATGAGACCCAGAAATCTAAACCATTATTAGTGGCTTTGCTGCTGTTAGCCGGAAGTCAGATTGCCAAGTGGATGTTTAACAGGATTGATCTGTTTAACAGGGTTCTACTGTCTGAGCCATTTCCCTTTCTCTCCTTAGCCTTCTCCCTTATCACTTCCCTACTGCCCTGGATATTTATTTGTTCCCATAGTCTAACTCAGCACTGCAAGTGTAGACTGGCCAGCAAGATGACCAGCATGAAGGGACCTCCTGCTGCCCTCACAGTCAGCTAATTGTCAAATGGGGTGGCAAATGAGAATTAGGATGTTAACTCATGGCTTAAGTTGTGGCCTTATCACTACTACATGTAATTGGACTTATCTCTGACCCTTGGCAATGGAAAAATACTCAGGAGCTCTCTGATGCTGGTGGGAATACAATGTAAATAAACGTGGGCTATTTCTACTTCTGAAGGGTTGTTGTATCCTAAGAAAACTTCAGAAGCATTGTATATTGCTTATTACCTCTGTTACATGGTAAAACAAGATGTGGATTTTCCTATGAATCATGTCTCAAGAAATCAAGAGAAAATAACTGATCCAATCTTACTTACATTCTTCTCCTCTTGGAAATCTGTTACATGGATTTTCTCTGTGATGTTCTTCCTCTTTCTGAGCCTCAGGCACTCATAGAGTACAGTCTTTGGCCTTAGCGTGGCTGTTTGTATTTGCTGTCTGTTGGTCAACTCCAATCCTGGTCTCTCAAATGGACCTTAAAGAACATCTTCTCATTTTATAGGAGAGGAAATTGCGATCTGGAACATGGAGTGAATTGGCTAGGGAACACTCAGTGGGTCAGAGACCAAACTGGACTCACTCGCCAGGGTTACTCCATTTGCCACTAACTGCACTGCCCACTAAGGTCCTGAGGGTAGAGTGGGTGTGAATGGTGGCTGGAGGCAAGTTAGTAGATCTGCCTTGGCATGTCCACAGCCTCCCCTTATTTTGCAGTAGTTTGTATTCATATATTTGTATACTGCCTTAAACTAGATACGATTTAAAATTCTATATATCTATATTTCTTTAAGTTCTGCTCATGGTATTGAATAATGGAAAAAGTTTGTATATGCCCACAAACATTCATGGAGAAAGAGACAAAAAACTTACCAGTGGTTATTGTTGAGGAATGAAGCTGAAAAACAATAATTTTTTATTTCACTCCTTCCTTCATGTACTATTTGAAATTTTCATGCCATGGGTGAGTGGGTAGCAAGAGAAATTACTCTGACTTCAAGGATTTTATGGCATATTGGGAGAAATAGGACAGTCATCCATGTATGATTTAACTTGAGAGTAATTTTATTACAACGTAGCCTCAACACATTTTTAAAGAAATTAAAGGTAAAAGATTTTTTGAAGGGTTTTTTGTGTCTCTATCTCCTTCAGTTCTGCTCTGATGTTAGTTATTTCTTGTCTTCTGCTAGGTTTTGAGTTTTTTTTATCTTGCTCCTCTAGCTCTTTCAATTTTGATGATAGGGTGTCAATTTTAGATCTCTCCTTGCATCTCATGTGGGCATTTGTTGCTATATATTTTCCTCTAGAGACTGCTTTAAATGTGTCCCAGAGATTCTGGTATGTTGTGTCTTCGTTCTTGTTGGTTTCGAAGAACATCTTTATCTCTGCCTTCATTTCATTATTTATCCAGTCAACATTCAAGAGCCAGTTGTTCAGTTTCCATGAAGCTGTGTGGTTCTGAGTTAGTTTCTAAATTCTGAGTTCTAACTCGATTACACTGTGGTCTGAGAGACTGTTATGATTTCCGTTCTTTTGCATTTGTTGAGGAGTGATTTACTAACAATTATATGATCAATTTTAGAGTAGGTGCGATGTGGTGCTGAGAAGAATGTATATTCTATGGATTTGGGATGGAGAGTTCTGTAAAAAAAACACCTTAAGCTTCATATGGAACCAAAAGAGAGCCCACATAGCCAAGTCATTTCTAAGCAAAAAGAACAAAGCGGGAGGCATCACACTACTGCACTTCAAACTATACTACAAGGCTGCAGTAATCAAAACAGTATGGTACTGGTAGCAAAACAGAAATATAGACCAGTGGAACAGAACAGAGGCCTCGGAGGCAACACAACATATCTACAACTATCCGATCTTTGACAAATCTGACAAAAACAAGCAATGGGGAAAGGATTCCCTGTTTAATAAATGATATTGGGAAAACTGGCTAGCCATGTGCAGAAAGCAGAAACTGGACCCCTTCTTGACATCTTACACTGAAATTAACTCCAGATGGATTAAAGATTTAAACATAAGACCGATGGATTAAAGATTTAAACGTACGACCTAACACCATAAAAACCCTAGAAGAAAATCTAGGCAGTACCATTCAGGACATAAGCAGAGGCAAGAACTTCATGACTAAAACACAAAAAGCAATGGCAACAAAAGCCAAAAGAGACAAATGGGATCTAATTAAACTTAAGAGCTTCTGCACAGCAAAAGAAAAAATCATTAGAGTGAACCGGCAACCAACAGAATGGGGAAAATTTTTTGCAGTCTACCCATCTGACAAAGGGCTGATACCCAGAATTTACAAAGAACTAAAACAGATTTACAAGAAAAAAACAAACAAGCCCATTCAAAAGTGGGAGAAGGATATGAACAGACACTTTACAAAAGAAAACATACATGAGGCCAAGAAACATATGAAAAAATGCTCATCATCACTGGTCGTTAGAGAAATGCAAATCAAAACCACATTGAGATACCATCTCACGCCAGTTAGAATGGCGATCATTAAAAAATCTGGAGACAACAGATGCTGGAGAGGATGTGGAGAAATAGGAACACTTTTACACTGTTGGTGGGAGTGTAAATTAGTTCAACCATTGTGGAAGACAGTGTGGCAATTCCTCAAGGACCTAGAAATAGAAATTCCATATGACCCAGCAATCTCGTTACTGGGTATATACCCAAAGGATTATAAATCATTCTACTATAAGGACCCATGTACATGAATGTTCACTGCAGCATTGTTTACAATAGCAAAGACCTCGAACCAACCCAAATGCCCAATGATGATAGACTGAACAGGAGAATGTGGTGCATATACACCATGGAATATTATGCAGCCATCAAAAATGATGAGTTCTTGTCCTTTGTAGGGACATGGATGAACCTGGAAACCATCATTCTCAGCAAACTGACACAAGAACAGAAAATCAAACACCACATGTTCTCACTCATAGGTGGGTGTTGAACAATGAGAACACATGGACACAGGGAGGGGAGCATCACACACTGGGTCTGTTGGGGGGAAATAGGAGAGGGACAGTGGGGGGTGGGGAGTTGGGGAGAGAGAGCATGGGGAGAAATGCCGGATATAGGTGATGGGAAGGAAGGCGGCAAATCACGCTGCCATGCGTGTACCTATGCAACAATCTTGCATGTTCTTCACATGTACCCCAAAAATGCAATTAAGTGCAATTAAAATTCGATTTAAAAAATGGTGAAAGAGTAATCTAAACCAAGTATTGGAGGTTTGAAAGGAAGACTAATTAGAGGCCTTGCCCACTTTAAGGATGTCATCTCAGTCTCATGGAAACACAGGTGCATGAAGCCTGGCCTGCAACTGACAACAACGGTGTCGTCTTAGCACCTTTAATTAGAGGAGCTCTTAGAGTGGTCTGAATGTTAATTGCTCAATGCCCTTTTCTATTGGTGATTGTCCTTCATGCGGCTTTAGTCCATTTGCTCAATATTATTGTCAGAAACACACATACTTTCCCAGATTCACAGATACAGAGAAAATTTTCAGAATCTTACGAAGTGTCTGCTAAAGTTTGGTCCCTGCTGTCACCCCTGGAAAGATGTATTCTTATAAGGAACGTACCAGGAGTCATCTTCCCTATGCAGGTCTTCATTCCAAGATTAAGGATCAGTGAAAATGGGGAAAGTGTCTGTCAGGATTCGACAGAAATGCTCTGCTTTTTCATCTTTGTAACTCCCACGTCATCATTTATTATAATGACAAGGAATGGGGCTTCTAATTTTGCCTGTGTTTAGGATTTATTTTTTTAATTGGAAACTCGCTTTCATGCACATTTTTTAAAGAGCTATATCGGCAAGAGCTATATAAAATAGCTATCTAAAATAACAGAATGACACTTGTTAAAGATATCTTTACATTTCCAATTCTCTTACTTTTCTGGCTGAGTCACTGTGAGCAGTGCTTCTTTTTCTGTAAATCTGTCATTTTAGAACTCACTTGGTGCTTCTGCTTGAGCTGTTACCACTGCTGAATCTCAAAAGGAAGGGTTTATCTTATTAATTAAAACTGTTAACATATATGATATTC